TTCCGGAATCGGATTCCAAAAAAACCTACAACTGCTGTGAAACAAAACCTTCTGCAAGTGTGGGTGTTTGTAAGAACTGTGGCAAAATTTACCATGTGAGTTGTGCAACAAGAAAAGGTTTCAAATTCATTGTTGGAAATTTGATACAGTGCTGTGAGGTGAGCAGTGAAGTGTCGAGTGACAAACATATGGATACTATTAAAAACTTAAAACAAACAATTACCGACAAAAATACTATAATAAACGATAAAATGACAATAATAAAGGATAAGGAATACATAATTCAGAATCTTGAAGAAAAAATTAAGATGCTCCAATTATTAAAGCCAAATGAAAAGAAAAAAGAAGTTTCGTCAGCTGTACCCAATATTGATAGTGATACTGAGAAAGCAGCATTCAAGAAGCTTAAACATAAATCTACCAATAAAAACAGTGCCAATGCTAATAAGGTGTCAAAAGAACAGGTGAGTGTTGCAGTAGCAACTGCTTTAATGGAATTAGAAAAGCATAGAAGCGAAACATTCCGAGATGCGGTTGCCAACACGGAGCTGCCTACTAAATCGACCCAAGCTGAACAACAATCAATTAAAGCAAATGACGATGGAAACTGGACTTTGGTCCAGAAAAAAAGTCGCCGAAACGAAAAAACAAAGCCATAGAAGGAACAAATGTGAGCACTACACTCGCAGGAGTTGTGAGGAAGGCCCACTTTCATGTGTTCCGCCTGGCACCGGAAACATCGACGGAAACTCTAAAAAATTATTTAAATGAGAAAAACTTCAAAAATATTGAATGTGAGAAAATGGCTTCAAAACATCCGAAAACATATGCCTCTTTCAAGGTCTCCGTTGCAGAGAGTGAATTGGAAAGAATAAAATCTCCGGATGTTTGGCCAAAAGGAGTCTGTGTGGACCGTTTTTTATTCCATTTGGGAGAAATAACGAAGAAAAATTGTTAAGCTGGTTTAATATATAATGTCCTTGAACATTCAATGTTTATCCAATAAAACGAAGGCATTAACAAAAGTTGTCCATGACAATAAAATAAACATTTTTTGTTTATGTGAACATTGGCTTGGCAACGAGCAAATCGACCTGTATACGTGATTTTCGGCTAGTCAGCTCATTCTGCCGTAGTATACATATGCACGGAGGTGTTGCTATTTACTGTCGGAAAGAGATAGAATGTTGCGTCGAGATTGAATGAAAGCATCCCAATGAATGGAAATTTAAAAGCAGGAATTATTTCAACGCGACAGTCAAAGAACATCTTCTAGATAAACCTATTTATACAATAAATGAATTCTTTAATCTAAGTTAATTGTTAATTGTCATTAGGTTAATCTTGAGTTGTTCATAAATATCATTGATATTACTATAGTTATATAATAATATTGTGATAATAATAATAATAATAATTGTAATGACGTAAATTGTAATTATTGAATTTAAATAAAGTATCTATCTATCTATCTATCTATCTATATATATATATAATATGAACATTTTCGAACTTCTTTGCTCCCAAGGGCTCAAATTCTTCTATATTGATAAAAAAAATTCTCTAAAAGTTTTAGCTCTTAATATTAACTTTTAGATAGTGCGCAATTCAATCAAAGCTTCTTATGGAAATAGCATGGAAAAAAATTCGAAAATTTTAAAGATGTTAGCGACAAATGAATTAAAAGTGACAATTCGTGTAATCTTTTATTGAAAATTCCACGCTCTACAAAACAGGTTTTTTATAATTTTTTTCGTAGGGCGTAGAATTTTGAACTAAAACTCATTCATTTGTTTGCTAAGTTATATCTAAAGAACATTTTTTAAATTTTTGAACATTTTTCCATGCTATTTCTATACAAAACTTAGAGGATTTTTTTTATCAATTTGGAAGCATTTGAGCCCCTGAGAGCAAGGAAATTCGAAAATGTCCATATTAAGAACCACCCTAATATATATATATATATATATATATATATATATATATATATATATATATATGTTACGGTAAATGTGCATATTTCGGTGGATGTGCACATTTACCGGCTCATTTGGCGAATGTGAGTTCAACTCGCGCATGTGAAATACTAATTTATATATTTATATTTATATATTATTTTAGTCATATGCATATTATTATCCATTATTTATTATTCACTATTAACTATTCACTATTTATCAATTAACAATTTATCTATTAACTATGAACTATTAACTATTTAATTAATAACTATTAACTATTTAACCATTAACTATTACCTATTTAACTATTCTTAATTCACTATTTAATAATAACTATTCACTATTTGCTATTATCTATTCACTATTTACTATTAACTATTCAGTTATCACTATTCACTATTCACTAATTTACTATTGAAATATTTACTATTAACTATTAACTATTCATTATTCTTTATTTACTATTAACTATTTAGTTATCACTATTCACTATTTACTATTAACTATTCAGTTATCACTATTCACTATTTACTATTAACTATTCAGTTATTACTATTCACTATTAACTATTCAGTTATCACTATTCACTATTTACTATTAACTATTCAGTTATCACTATTCACCATTTACTATTAACTATTCAGTTATCACTATTCACTATTTACTATTAACTATTCAGTTATCACTATTTACTATTAACTATTCAGTTATCACTATTCACTATTTACTATATTAACGATTCAGTTATCACTATTCACTATTTTACTATTCAGTTATCACTATTCACTATTTTACTATTCAACTATTTACCTATTAACTATTCACTATTTGACTATTCAGTTATCACTATTCACTATTTACTATTAACTATTCACTATTTACAATTCATCTGTTTAACTATAAACTGTTAAACTATTTAGTTATTACTATTCACTATTCAATAATAACTATTTACTATTTACTATTCACCATTAACTATTTAACTATTTACTATTTAACTATTTACTTTTTAACTATTAACTAGTTACTTGAACTATTAACCATTTACCTAAAACTATTTACCTATAACTATTGAACTATTAACTATTCACTATTTAACTATTCTAAATTCATTATTTAATATTTTTCTAACAATTAACTATTAACTATTTACTAGTTAATATTAATTATTCACTATACACTATATTAAAACTTTACTATTCAATTATTTACTATTAACTATTTAGTGCGCATGCGCCAAATACGCAAGATGTTCATGAGACCGATCCAAGTACGCACGTACACCATTATTTTAAAGTGATTGTTTGAGAACTCCACATTCTCCTAGGTTTTGGGGAATGTGCACATTCACCAAGAGTGCACATTTACTGTAACATATATATACTGAATAGTGTATATATATATATATATATATATATACACATATATGTTTTATAAAACATTTAATTGAATTTATATTACTTTTAGAGGGAAAAGCGTTTTTGCAACAGCCACTAAGTGGAAAATTTGAATTACCTGATAGTGGTCAAGAGGATTCCGATAGCAATATGATTAACTTAAAGTGGCACAACATTTATGATCCGAAATTGATTTTGAAATGATTTTTTATTTTTTAAATAACTGGTCTTCATTTATAAGATTTTTTTTTGTTGGAAGAATTTTTATAATTGTTTTTATGTGTTATTAATATTGCAAGGAGTTCATTATTTATAAGGGCTACTATACCATTGATTTTTTCTATATTTTACAGCATTTAGAATAATATTGATGATTTTTACTAATTAACTAGAAGCATAAGACAAATTATCTTGGAAATAGCTGTTAATAAATTGCTATAACTCATCTCGAGAAGAATTGTATGAGTAAAATTAATATGTTAATTATTAATAAATTATAATTTAGAGAATTTTCTACATAATGTGTTTTTTGTGAAATAATGAGAATTCAAAAATGACTTATTACACAAAATTACTTTGTGAGTCTCTCAAGCATTTATTTTTTTTTGTTTCGCCTTTTTCTCATATTGTACAATTAATTTCACTCAAAGAAGTTTATATTTTCACCAGAAAATTTGAATTTCATGTTGTCTCAATGTTTTAAGTCAGTGTGATTCGTTTGAGACCAAAATTAAAAAAGGTGTATGTTTGCTGAATAATTAAAAACAAGCCGTTTTTTGCAATTAAAAGATAACTGCAAGTTTATTTGTCCACATTATAGCTAAAAAAGTTTGAATAAATTTTAAGAATTTAAATTATTAGGGTAAAGTGGTTCTAGGGTAAAGTGGTTGAATTAAAAAAAATCATTAAAGTTTGGCAAGATAAGAGCGCTTTTAGAAGATGCAAGCGCGTTTTTGTGTCCCATGCAATTACAATATTTTAAGTTTGTTTGCAAGATATGAATTGGAAATTCTACAGTTTTTAGTGAAAATGAAAACTTTATATTCGAAATAAACAGTTGAAGAATCTATCTAAAACACTAAATCCATAGACCTTGTAATAGATTATGAGATTTTTATGTATTTTAAGGTCTGCGACTAAATTTCAATTGAGGGCTAATTTTGATAATAATGATTTATTGATTGAATCAATTATCTACACGTGTTGGGAAGTTTATGCAGCTCGCTTTAAGGCAAAATGCCGCTTACACCTAGTAAATCTAAATTGTTTTTCAATATAATTATTCTTCAAAAATTTCAATTTTTAACAACAGGCGCGATATATATTATATATTTGATCTAAATGTATAGATATAGACTCTTTATGAGTCTATATAAAATATATGTCATTTACAATAAAATCGTAATAACACTATAAGTAAGTATGGGAGTTTATTAATAACTCTGAAGATGCACAAAATATTTAATATAAAACGTTCACGGCGGAAAGAGAAGAGAGCGAGCGATTTTTGTTGGCGCAAGGGTTGCAATATTGGATATTCTAGTGTAACTGCAAACTTGAACCATTAGTTGCGCACTTCACTTGCGTTGCCTGTGTGTTGCGTATACTCTTCTTTTATCTATGTTTAAGGGTTTGAGCGCGATTTATGCTTATTTATCTATGAATGCGGATTCACACTAGGAGCCAATGGTTAACGTCAATGTCAAATTGACGAAGTGAACTAATCTATTGTCCCATGTGCATGTACCACTAAACAATATAATGTGTGCATGTACCTAGGGAATATTCCTATTCCTATAATGTTTAAGGACGATCAAGTACTTTGTGGTTATATTGTTTAAGGTGAAAATTTTATTTATACCAGACATTACTCATGGAGAAAATATGTAACATTAAATTCGGGCCTTTGCCGGAAGATTCACCGTATGTCAAACCTGTTAGATTTTACTATAAGCAAAATGGAGTGGAAAGAATTGGGATTTATTGAAAGTTCATGATTCCGTTGCTGTTCTCATTCACAATGTGACAAGAAATTGCCTTGTAGTTGTAAGACAATTTAGACCAGGTAAACATACACTTTAGAAAATAGCTATTATATCTCCGTTACCTCATTATTGTTGTCATCTTCTATTTCATAAATTATGAAGGGTTTTAATTCATAACATAACAAATATAAACATACTTACATTTCATCTGCAAAGTTTAAACTTTAATGGTCTTTCATATATGCATCTGTCTACTGGCATTCTGGCAGTTAATGTATACATATGTTTATGTTAATGTATATATATATATATATATATATATATATATATATATATATATATATGTTCCTGTTACAAATGTATGTCTATTCTGTTTTTCATTTAGCAGGTTTACTATACTCCTGTGTTTCACCTTCTTCAGATGCACAGTGATTTATATGGTCAATATACTACCTTTCTTCTTCATAAAGATATACATATTTTTATAACATGATTTGTACATTTTTCTTACTTAGCAAGTGCTTTAAGAATAGTTCACCAGCTTCTAATATTGCAGTATGTTAAATGTGCACTTTGGATTTATCAATGTGACCCGAAGCAGAACACTATGAATTCTAGACATGAATGCAGCTTTTTTGTAATTTTCAGAGGATTTTTATATTCATGATGGCTTAGTATTTCTTACTGTCTTTTAATCTAGTAGATCTTATTCTCATTTTGCAGACGTGAGCTGCAACTGAGTTATTTGCATTTGTTTTATACCCTTTTGAATCGTTTATATAAAACAGCATTGCACATCTATTTCTCTTGCTGATGTTGATAATTTTAAAAATTAATTAAATCTATTTAAGCTAATTAAACTATAAGGAAGTTACTGTACATATTTAGTATATTGATCACAACTACTTTTAATCAGTTGTGTACTTTTATGTAAATACATGAAAACTTTTGTTACTTAATATGCATATGTTTAATATGGCACCTTTTATATGTATTTTATATGTAATAATTTACAAATAAAGTTGAGAAAATACTGAAAATAATCAACTAATAATTATTGATAATGTGGTTTTATTGCATTGTTATCATTACAAGTGTGCATTAAATTTCAAACAAATTTTCAAAGTTCCAAATAATTCAAATAGTCTCTAGATCACAATAAACTAATGCTAATTAAGTTATTGCATTTTGTCATAACCTGAAGAAAATACTGGATCAAATTCCAGGACAAATAATTGTCATGATTATTACTACAGAGTTTTGATTGCAATTCGTTATAATGCGTTATTGTAACATTTGCAATACAAACATAAAAAGTAAATTTTTTTAACAAATACTTAGTTTTATAATTAAATAAAAAACATGTTATTAGTTTTTTAAAATAAGAATGAATTAATTTACTGCTTCAGGTTTCAAAAAAACATAAACATAACTTGATGAGGAATCTGGAAATAAATTAGTATTATGTTTCAGCTGTGTATTACAATTGCATACCAGATGAAGATAGAAAAGGAGTAGTAATAGATACCACCAAATATCCTGCTGAATTAGGCATTACTCTAGAATTGTGTGCAGGTATTTGTGATAAAGATGCCAGTTGGGAACAAATTGCTAAAGAAGAAGTATTGGAAGAATGTGGTTACAATGTAAATGTAGAAAATTTACAAGAAATAATTCGATTTCGGTAAGTTAAATTTTTAGTATTCATTGCAATAAAATATGTATAAATGATATAATAGATGAGTTCAAAAGTTATAATTTTTATTACACTCTGAGTCAGATATTGGATTCATTTACAGTTTATATCGATTTAGCCTTTTACATTCATGATGCTATATAGTTGCCACAGTTTTTTTTCACTTTGCACTTGTATGTTATGCAACGACTTTGATATTTGTACATGTGTATAATTTTTTATTTTTATTTAGTTTTGTAACTAACACAATTGGTTATTGTTTGGTACATTTTGTAAACTTTTTTTTTTTGTTGAAATTTTTAATGTAAGCTAGTAATTTTGGATCACTGCAGAACATTCCCTATTATATTTTCTCCTATCTCCTTGATATGCAGCATGTTCTATTTTCTGTTACTTCTATAAATAGATGATTGAACAAAAAATAATAGTAATCAAATAATAAAAAGGTATACAAAAGCTTTATTGACTTGAAAATGATTGACATTGGAATATTGTTAATAATCCAAATTATTTTTTGTTCTAGGTTACCTATGTATACTGTTAGGAACTTGCTTTATTTTAATTTTATGAAGAAGTTTGTTTTGCCAGAAAATTCGATTTTTCTTTTCTGAATTCTGATTTTGATTTTGTTTCTTTTTCGGCGTTTTAAGTGATTCTGAATCATTTGATCCTAAATTTGAAAAAAGCATGTGTGTGCCAATTTTTTTTTTATGACTTTGATGAAATTTTGCATGACAATAGATTTTATGATTTGAACTTATATTAAAAATTAAGTATTTTTGTAAAATATTCAGAAATATTAGTATTAATTTATAATTGTTAAAGACTTTAAGACGCTCTCACTACACATTCAGAAGTTTTCAAGCAATGCGATTAGAGTCAATTCTTTTATTTACAGTCAGCTTTAGATTGTTTTAGTCGAGAAATATAACTGTAAAAAGTGAAATTCATGTCATTTACTGTATAATAGTTTCTTTTGAAAACATTTTTTAGATCTGGTGTCGGTACATCTGGCTCTGTAATTGCTATTTACTATTGTCAAGTTAAAGATGAGGATAAAGTAAGCACAGGTGGTGGCGTTGATGACGAAATTATTGAAGTTGTGGAATTAACAGTACCGCAAATTAAGAAAATGCTTTATGGAGATAAATTTATCAATAGTCCTGGCGCTTTTTTGTATGGTCTACAATGGTTCTTATATAATCTTGATAAATAATTACAATATTTATTGTAGAAGCATTTATTTTTATTTAATAATACATTTTGTATATAGTAGTTACTTTTATCATAAATGTAATTTATGTTAAACCTGCTTTATAATATGTTGCTATAAAATATATTATTTATTAGTTTTTATTGCAGTAATAATTTATTTGTTCTAAATGAACTTATAATTTTGTTAAATCATTGACTAGTCAGACTGTTGTAAGTAAATTTGTTGGTTTTGAAAAAGTATAATTAAAGCGATCAAAATTAAAAATGAAACATTTTAAAATATACATGTTAAAAATGGATGAACGTTCAGTATTTTACTGGAAAAAAATAAAACGGAGAAATCAAAATTAATGTTATTTTTCATAAACCTTTAAAACTCAACACACTCGGTTATGTGATTTTTTGCATGCATTTATTATTTCTCTTGTAACATGTAATAAGTTTGTTTAGTGATAGTAAAATATTTGATAATTTTCTAAAAAATTAAATTATCTTCAATATTTTATAACACTACCATGACACTACCATACTCTATGTAAACTTTGTGTGCTTTAAAATAGCAATTGAATGAAGAACATGTTTGCCTGCTTGATAAAAGTGTATATTAATACAAAAAATTTAAACATTGACTTCTGTCAAACAAATTCAATCAAGATATTTTGTTGAAGCTTCGTTTTTAATGAAATTAACAAACTTTCAAATCTTTTTACTTTAAACAAATGTTGAAGAACTTTGATAGTATTTCAATCAAATTAATTTACTATAGATAAAAGAAGAGTATAGAGCCATTTACTTTAAACAAATATTGATGAACATAAGTGGATTCATAGATAAAAGAAGAGTATATGAGGTATATGAGTGGATTCAAAGTTTCAGTTTCAACTTTCTGTTTTAATTTCGTGCTTCAAATTTTTCAAGCGCCGACGACCATCTTGCTAACTTCAGCTTGCTTCAGCTGTCAATGAGGTCGTTGCGAGTATTTTTCATATAAAAAATAAATCGTCAAATGTTCATAAAAAGCTACAAAAATGACTTTGTGTGGAAGTGCTTAGGTGTGCATTGAATTGTCATAATTTAAATTATATTTAAACATTTTATTTGCAGTGCTAATGTATTCTTTCTATATGCAATTATCAATAGTTTAATTTATGTGTTTTTGTAGGTTATACTTAAGTACTTCCGCTTTATATCTGTTGAAATAGAATTTTAAATTCACAAGAGTCTCTAATCATCTCTAATGTAAGTCGTGTGTCGTGTAAAGACTTTACTCGGTCAATTGCAAAATGTCGAATAGGCTTATAAAAAACAAAGTTATGTAGTGGTTTTAAAGTAGTGATTTTGTGTCAAGTATTTGGTATTTCTGGCAGATTAGAGGTGATTCATGTATTAGTTTTGTGTTCTGCTAGCTGCTGCAGAGGATTTCTAACAATGTAAGTGCAGGGCATGTTTTATACAAAGCGAGTCAAAGAAATATTTTTGATATTATATACAGGCATTTATCATACAACGTGTAATGCACCTGTACTGAATTAAAATGCTCCCTATCTTAAATAAACAAAAATGAAATAATTTTAAAAATCTTTGATTGAATATTTGAATATTGTTTGTCATCTTTAGTAAAACTATAATTTGAATAGAAATAAATAATAAGATATTACTTATAATTATTAAAAAAGGGATTTGTATTACATGCCACTTTTTGCATATAAAAATTAATTGGGAGATGCTGTGAGAACTTGTCCCTTTCATATCCGATATCCTTTATATATAAGATATATGAATCAAAGCAGCCGGGGTATATTTACTGAAATATTTTATGGCTCGTGAATTGTTAATATTTTACATACATTTATCTTCTGAAAATTATGTTTATATTTGAGTTTATAATTTATGTATCAACGATGAATCGAAAAGGAAATACTACTAAATTGAAAAATAGCAAATATTCCATAAATTATTGCAATAAGAACAAACTACTATGAAAAATTGCATCTTACATACCAAAACTTTTCCCACAACAAAGTTTATTCCTGAACAGATTAAGTTTGTTAGGTGAGGTACCACTGCATATTAGTTTTCTGAGCAAAATTGAGTGCATCCTATTTATAAGCTATTCTTCGCAATTTCAAAAATTTCCATATGCAGCAGGTTGATTTATGTAACTTATCTGAAGAGATAACTTTTTACAAGGAATTATATCATTTTTTTATGATTTTGCATTAAATTAGTTCCTTAATGTTGTAATTATTTGTTATAAATTTAAGTTGTTATAAAAAACGTTTCAATTATGTATATACCTTTCTGAGAGGGGATTCGTTTCTCACTATTTATGACCTTAAACCAGAAATTGTAAGTGTAATAGTACAGATATACATGTTCACATATATGTCTCCAACATCAAATAAATTGGTAGTGCAGTATTTTTATTTGTGTAAATATAATAAATTAAATTTGTAAATTATACTTAAATACGTCATTAGATAATGATTATTGCCCCGAACATGGGTTGGGTTAATCACTTATATTGAAATGCCTCATTATTTGAATCAAGATCTTAATTATCAATACAAACACCAACTGCAGAGATAACTTTCACATTCTAAATACTAACGGTAAAAACAACATCTGTGATTCAGATGATATTATTTAGATTTTAGATTTAGATTCAGATATGACACTGCTGTCATATGACACAAACTTATATATAGAAAAACAATATATTATTCCTGAGAATATGAAAAATATTTATCCATCAATAAAAAAATTACTTATCACCATTATCCAACAATGTTATATACATATATATATATAAATACTAAAATAGGTACTTATAACTTTGATTCTGTGAGCCAATTAAAACTTTGAGGTTTCCTATCAGCCGATGGATTTATCATGACGTTAATTACATTTGGTTTATCCACTGATTTTAGACTAATATTGAGTGCTTCTTGCAACTCTGGTATTGTTGTACAAAAGTGTCCCTTTTCATTAAAAAGTCCCATAATATTTTCATAATGAGTTTCAGCAGTCAGTGCTGAAGGAGGTGTTCTAAAAAAAAAAAATAATAATTTGCTAATATTTTTGTGTTCCTTATATTTGTTTCATAACTTGGTTTATTAATAAACTAATAATGTGCCCTTTAAATGTAATTTAATAAAAAAAAAAACTGATGAATAATATTTAAAAATGATAGGCATATGATGAACATATTGCAGATAGCTACATAAACCATTAACAAAATGACAACCGATTTTATTAATAAAAAAAATCCTTGCCAAAACTTACATTAATAACAATTTTATTACTTACGTTTGACTAATTTCACCAGAAGCCTGCATTATATTCATGGTATCTTTATCAAAACCACCATAAATGCCATTATTGTTAACAATAATTATAGTGATAGGTAATTTGTAGCGATACATTGTTTCCACCTCCATTCCGGAAAACCAAATGCTGAATCACCTTCGACGCAATCACTTTTTTTTCTGGCGCGTAATCTTTGCACCAAAATGCAGCAGCAATAGCAAATCCAGGTCCACCTAGCAATATTAATTCTAGTGTGAGTGAGTGTGAAATGTTCCTATACAATTGATTCATGTTATGTTAAGGTTGCTAAAAGTAATAAAAACGTAAACTAAATATAAGTTCAATGAATAAATATTAGAAATGCTTATGAAAACTTTTAAATATACTTATCAATTTTCCAATCATTTATAATTAGAGTTTTAGCACCTGTAAAGTAAGCTGTCACAAAAAATATAAATTTTTGGTAGTACTGTATACACATATATGTATGTATTTCTACATACTATTCATAGTCATACATACTATATATGCATACAAATTGATAGGATTTAATTAGTGACATATTCAAATATGGATCAGTTTTTTTTTTTTTTAACTTGTTTTCAAATATTCGAAACAGTCAGACAACATACCCCATAGTTCCAAAAGTGCCAGCATCCAATCTGTGCCTTGGTAATATATTTGGCAGCATCGATCTGCCTATATCCATTGTGTTTGCCCCTTCACTGATAATCATGCAATCTTTTGGCAATATTTCTTGTATATGGTGAAAAACAGTATAGTAATTTAATGGAACGCTGGTGTCTGAAGATAATTTCTGAAGAAAAAACAACGAAATAAATGTTTATAACACTATTTTCTGTAAATGAGTGGGGTATTTGAATTCAAAAAACAATGTTCTTAATGTTTTTAAATGTGTTTCTATATTTAACTAAATCTTAGGTCCTATTTATTCATCATTCTGGTATCCTGGAAGTGCTTATAAGATTCACATTAGATACTTATAAGATTCAAACATTTCTGACAGTCTATTTTGTTTCTATAAGTGAATTGGACTCTACTAGTGGAAACATGCTCTCAGGCAAGTAATTTGGGATGATTTTTTTTATTTTATAGTCATTTAGAAAAAAGTGATGTTGTTAAACATTGCTTTATTTATATTATTATATTTATA